ATAGATATTGTTAGTTCTTTTGTTTTCTACTTTTTCTTTTAAAAGATAGAGCGCTGCTAACAAAACAACAACAAAAAGGCACATCGCCCATCAATCGGTTGTTTAATGCAAAACTTTAATTTTGGCTGTCAAAATCAGCTTCAAGTTCACTCAACATTTTTACATTAAGCTCTACTTCGCATAGCTTCGAAAATTGCAGCAAAATCGGCAGAGGGAGGTAAAGGTTTGCTTGTGCAAGAAGAAATACACTAAGCAAAGTACCACCTGCATTTTGCAGCTAAGAAGCAATTCAAACTAACACGCAAGTAAACTAACACACGATTAGATTTAGCTAAAATGATAACGCAAAAATTCGTGGTAGGCAATACTTTGTAGCGGGGGCTATTCTCATGCGCGAAGGACCGAATGCGCGAAAAAACTCGTGAGCGAAGGACCGAAAACAAAATTAGTCGAAAGTCAATTTTTTACAAGAAGCGATTACCATTCAATTAAAATGAATCAACATTTTGCTTTTTCATAACTAAACCCTCGAAATGAAAAATTTGTCCTAATTTTGCGGCGGTCAATGACAAATTGAAAATTTTGAATATTTCTGCCATTTTTATATTCGGCCAATATCAATACTCCAGTCCCTGGAAATGCTTACATTCTTTCCAAATTTTAGATTACTGAAATCTGATTGACTGATTTTTATTTTCGAGTATTCGGTCCTTCGCGCATGAGGGATTCCACCCTTCGTAGCAAGTGACAACTCCTAACATCTATTTAGAAACCTCAACAAGGCATTGGCAAGTAAGCTAAGTTCGCCGCTTACTACTGTTACGAATTGTCGTCTGTTACGAATACAAACACTTGAAAGTTGTCGCCTCAGTATCTAAAACTTCAAAAAACCAGAGAAGTTTTTCATATTGCATAGAGTAATTTGACCACATGATTGTTGCAAAAACACTTTACAAGAAAAATCAATAAATTTTCTAAAATGAATTGGTATGAAAAAACATTCTTTGAAATTAGAATAAGGGCTAATTTCCAGAGTTAAAGTTCCAATTGAACCTTTATATGGAGAAAAATCAAAACGGTCATTGAAAAAAAATCAAAAATACAGAGTTACTTTTTGTTATTTTTCGAACTCATTAAAAATCTGGATCATTTCTCCAGATGAGGCGATTTTTTCTCTAAAAATATATCAGATATCTAAGTGACGAAAGAATTCAGTTTATTTTGCTCTTAAACTTGACATTAAACGAGCTTGCTTTGCACATTGTATCAGCTCGTTTTTACGATCGATTATTTCTGAAACCAAGAAAGAAAACTAGCAATTACTAAGCTCAACTACCGAGTTCATTTACTGAGTTCAAAGACCGCAACTGTTTCTCGGTCACTGAACCATGTTGAAAATATGCTTTTAGTTAACAAGCCAGAGTTCTATCAACAAAGTTAAGTATTCAAGTTTATTTAAGCAATGGCTATATTTTAATATTTCACCTTGTAAATTGCAGCGCACGCGCAATTTGCACCCGCAACCCTATGATTGCTGGGCATCATCACTACTAAATCTCCACAATGTCAATTAAATTGAAAATTCATGCTTCCTTTGAAACAACTCTCCTAAAAAGATACTTGATATCTGTACAAATAACAAAAATATTTTGACCATATAACTTATTGAAAGCTTTAAAAACAAAAATGCGTAAATAAATTGACATGTAACTGAAGATAATCAGGGCTGAGAGGTTAAAATCAATTATTACAACGACTTTTGCTAATTAGCGGTAAAACTAAACCCTAAGAGAGAACTGGATTTCGTGAGCACATGCAAAAATCGGCTAATTGGGCTTTCAAAACTTGCTACAACACAAGACGCTCTTAGATGATGACGCCCTTATTTCAACTCTTATGGCAAAAACATATCCACAAAAATCCACAGACCTTGCAACCAGATCTTTTCACAAACTCAAGCAGAAATTCGGCACCAAAAATGAAGAAAAACACGTGCAAGCATTACTTAATATAGGACCTGTATTTTAATTGAAGCTTCACGTTTAAAAATATTTTTACTATTAAAGTTTCTGGAAAACTAAAAAAAATAAGTCGATGACAAAGATCTGTACATTGCTACGCACGAGCACATAAGGAGAACCTTATAATGTGGTGAAAACATGGTCAATAACAAAGAAAAACACTTGAACAAAAAAATTACTCGACTCGTTTTCTAAAAATAATCAATGCAGTTTGAAGTTTGCTATCAATTGAAATGTTTCCAATCAGTGCCGGAATGCTTAGAATCAAATTTTTCATGGTTCTATGGATATCAGTAATTTGTTATAAGAATTCTTCAGAGATTTTGAAAGTTTTAGGTTTAAAAAAGACTTCAAGTAACAAAATTACAATACAGAAGCAAAGCAATATACATTTGAAAGAAAAAGTATTCTATTGAAGACTCAAAGAAAACGAAAATATGGAGTATCTACTAGGACAAAATACATATGCTTTATTTCTAAAAATTTAAAACTAAGAAGCAAAAGCCCGATTATTGTTTCAGAAGCAAGTCCCGGCAAAGAATCTTTTGTAAAAAAAAGTAGTATCTAGTATTTTCTTAATCTTTCAATTCCCATATTATCAATTTGTTTTCCGAAATCGTAATACTCTGCATGATGATAGGCAAGAGACTATGCATGACAATATGCGTACGTGTTTTGCCAAGTAACCAAAAGAACATGATTTAAGGGGAAATCTTATGTGAATTAAATTACGAAGTAATAAATTAAAGCAGTAACTTTAATTAAAAAAAACGTTTCGATGAAAATTAGGTTGTTTTTACACTTATACAAGACTGCTCATATCAGGGCGAAGCCCTGAATGTTCCGACTACCTTTTAATGTTTATGGAGCAGTAATAACCTATAAAAAAAATTAAAGGTAATAAAATAAAAACTTTTTTCTAAAATTTGAAATTTTTTTATGAAAATCATCCCCCCACACACCATATTATGTACAAAATGATAGATTTCGCTCCTTGTAACAGATCAATTATGGCAAGTAAGCTTCTTTTAACCAATTTGGAACAATTTCTAAGACGGATTAAATCTCCGCTTACGCGTTAATAGCGCGAAAGATATCGCGCGTTAATTGTCCCAAATTGGCCAAAATGGCAATCTTTAAACCCCCATAACTTTACGAAAAAGGATCACAGGTGAAATATCTTTTCAAATTTAAGCTCAGAAAAACAATACCTTTTGAATGATTTTTAAAAATTCCGTCAAAAATGGCTAGTTAAAAAGTCGAAATTTGTCAGAAGAAAAAAAACCCACCCCGAGCACAAATATTCCGTTACTTTCGTATCGAAAGTCGGAACAATAAAGTAATTTCAGCGAAATCAAACGCAAAACATAAACATAGACGTGATAACTGAAAATTAAATTGTTACTGAAGAAACCTTGCAGTTTGCAAAATAACAGTTGGAGGCCGAACTCGAACCATGCAAATTTGCCGTACCAGCATGGACGGTACATTTGCTGCAAAAGGCCAACATTGGAAATTGGAACTTAAAATGTTAACAAGACTGCTCGTATCAGGGCGAAGCCCTGAATGTTCCGACTGCCTTTTAAGTTTTATGGAGCAGTAATAAGATAAATATCATTAACAAATTAAACGTAAAAAAAATGAAACAAAAAAATTCCAAAATTTGAAATTTTTTCCATGAAAATCATTCCACCACACGCCATATAAACTACAAAAGAATAGATTTCGCTCCTTGTAACAAATCAGTTATGGCAAATAAGTTTCTTTCAACCAATTTGGAACGATTTCTAAGACGGATTAAATCTCCGCTTACGCGTTAATAGCGCGAAATATATCGCGCGTTAATTGTCCCAAATTAGCCAAAATGGTAATCTTTAAACCCTCATAACTTTACGAAAAATGATCACAGGTGAAATATCGTTTCAAATTTAAGCTCAGGACAACAATACCTTTTGAATGATTTAAAAAAATTCCGTCAAAAATGGCTAGTTAAAAAGTCGAAATTTGTCTGAAGAAAAAAAACCCACCCCGAGCACAAATATTCCGTTACTTTCGTATCGAAAGTCGGAACAACAAAACTGCTCGTATATCAGGGCAAAGCCCTGAATGTTCCTCCCTTAGTTCATATCGAATAGCTTGTGGGAAAAGAAAATATTGAAAACCTATACATTTTGGACAGAGTCAAAATGTAAAATTTAGAGCCGAACGAAATTAATACGACCAATTAGCTAGCCTCAATTCGATTTGGAACAATTTTGTTGTGCAGGATATTTCGCCACGCATAAAAAATTCGCGTTACGCTCTCAGCATTATGAATAAACTCTTCAAAGCGCGCATGATTTAGTCCACATGGCAAATTTGGCAATTTCAAACCCCCAGAACGTTAAAAAATAACAATCGGAGGTAAAATATCTTTTTACATTTGAACTCAGGAAGTCGATATCTTCAATGGGGTATAAAAAAATTCGTTGGAAATTTTTATTTCATGGTGAGAATTGACTGAATAAAAAAACCACACCGAGCATAAATATTCCGTTTTCTTCGAAAGTCGGAACAATTAACTGAAGAGTCCAAAAGAGACTTGCGAACAAATTTATAACCAAAAGAGTCTAGTACCCGGTTGCAATGCCGCTGCTAATCGCTAGAGTAATGATTGAAAACCTTTACTCGGTTAAATTATGTAACACAAAATACCGCAAAGCAGTTTTTTTTTATATAGCAAAATGGTCTCCGAATTTAGTCGATTCCCAATCTGATATCAATACGATTTAATGAGATTAGAGTGAAAATTTGGGTTCGCTAAACTCCATAATATGTTGAATTTTAAGTAGATTCTGTCTGATATCCTTAGGCTACATAATTTTCGCGAGTTGAACAACCTTCATGTTAAGTTAAAAACTCCTACGTCATGTTGAAAATTTGAAAACTAATTCGGTCACAAAAAATCCAATTGGACCAAAGTTAATTTGAAAAAGACGCCGACTGAAATTTTATTTTAATCTTGAACTCAACAGAACCATTTATTTAAAAACATTTTCTCAACATGGCGTCCTGTTCATGAGTCGTATTGCTTTTCAAACCGTAAGAAATGTCAAAATTGCACAATAGACAGGAAGATAATTAATTTCCATTCTCGAAATTAGAATTCAATCACGTTTTTCGTGACCTTTACAATTTTGCCTTCCTTTTAACAATGGAAATGCACTGAACTTGAAAAAAGTCAAAACGCGAAAAACCAAAATTGAGCGTGAACAAACTTTAAGACTTTTTGCTGGAAAAAAAAAACTCAGCAAGACCTATATGAAAGTACTCACTACGTTCATTACTCTTAAAAATTAGATTCTTAACTCAGTATTGACAGATGCTTCTTTTTTCTGCCAATACTCTTCTTAATTACACACTTTCATCAATGTAAAAGACAGACAGAGTTCCTGCTGTTTTTTCTGCATAAATTAGTTACGAATTAAACTCCTAATATTTAGCTTGAAAAGCAATATCTGTCATGTTATGACCTTTTCTCTGGAGAAGAAGTTGTTTCACCGGACGTAGTAGAGGTTTCGGAGGGAGGTGACTTCTCGGATGATGCCGGCTCCGTCTGTTGCTCTAAAGATACTGTTGTCGTCATAACAGCTGTCGTCGATCCAGTAGTGACCAAAGTTGTCGCGCCCTCAGTTGTTACGGCCGATGACATTCCAGAAACAGTTGTTGCTGCTACACATTATATGCAATCAATTCTGTTCATAGAAATTTTATATTCTGGACAAGTTAATTATTTTCAACAATTTTGAGTACCTCTTAGCCAAATCATGCTTTATGTTGATATAAACTTCTTTCAATGAGTAGGATTTCTAATCTTTTGAAAAAACAAATTAAAATCTACGGCACAGCCTTAGATAGATAAAAATTAGTCATTGAATTGGTTTTTAACGTAACTGTTTTCATAAAATATCAAGTTAAATCACGTATACGCTGCTTTTGGATCGAACTATCAATTTATACACAAAATAAACAAACAAAGCTTGAAACAGAACTGGTGGGAGTTGATGTCGTGTCTCCTTCAGGTGATGGCGAAGTCGAACTAGCAGCAGATTCGACAACCGATACTTCAATAGTGACATTGATCTCAACAGACGGAGTTGTGCTGGTTGTTTCAGGAGGAAGAGATGAAGATGAAGTGCTCGCATCATCTTTCGAGTCCTCCGAGTCACCACCACTCGCGTCATCGTCCTCAATTTCGTCGTCATCACCATGGTCTTTATCATCCTTGACGTCAGTTTTAGCGTTGCTATCGGCGTTTTCGCTTTCGCCTCCATCTTTATTTTTGTCATTGTCGTTTTCTGAATTGTCTAATTTGTCGCCCAATACCACATCGCCAATCTCTTTAACCTCGTCTACGAGGTCCTCAGATATGTCAACATCAATGTCACCTTTGACATTTTCGGTATTATCGTTGTCTTTGTTCTGTTTTTGTTTGATATTGCCGTTTTTGCTACTATTTTGGTTTAGGTTTTCATTATCATTAGCTTTAGAACTCTCTTCACTATTATTTTGGCCTTCAACGGCATCCTTGCCTGCAATGCCATCGTCTTTTTTGTTCTTCTCTTTTTCTCCTTTTTTGCGGTTTTTCTTCCCGACTTTAATTTTCTTCTCTTCAAGCTTCTTGTTGCCCTTGATGTCATCCAATGCGGATGAAACGAATTTTCCAATTTTGTCGAAATCGATATTTGTTTTAACTTCAACTTCAAATTCGCCTTTGGATGACTAAAATGAACCCAGAAAATCTAAATCAGTTTTTCTCGACAATTGGACAACTTTTAAAAAATTTTTAATGCCGTTAGAATCACGACTTCAATATATATCACTCGACACATTCCGATGATTTTTTGCGGTAGCTGATTGTGCGTGGAAAAATAACAAAAAAGAAAAAAGTAAAACATAACCGAAAACAGCTTTGCAATGGTCTGAACCAGGGGCGGATTTAGGGGGGGGGGGCGGAGGCCCCCCCTCAGGGATTCGACCCCCTGCCGACCCAAAGGGTCCCCCCCTTTGATACTTTTTCGGTAATCCATTTTTGGCCGACCGACCCTAAAATTTTTCTAATGGCGCCTTCGGCGCCAATACATACTAACTTTGAGGGGGAGTGCCCGCCAAAAAAAACGCGATTTTTTTGTCAACATTTTTCAAAAACTGCCCAAAAACGGCTTTTTTGACTGTTTTTTCAGAAACTTGCCTGCGGCGCAGAAAATTTAGCCAAAATAGGGGCAAAACTGCTTTGGGAGAGCTCGAAAAATCAATTTGGTCGACCTAAAAAAAAAAGGTCGTCAAAATTTTCGAAAATTTTTTCAAAATCCGCCCTCCCCCTCGAAAAAATCCTAGATCCGCCCCTGGTCTGAACAACAAGAAAACCCTTTTTTATGTGGACTAACTAGCCAATTAGTCGAGCTTTAGCGTAAACAATAGCAAAAGTTAAACTTGAGCATGAACAATAATTTTTTTGAAATAAAAACAACAAAAGAACCACACGACCTCAGCGAGTGTCTTCATTCGGTTCGTTGACAATTAAAATTCAATCTTATTAGTTTTAAAATTGATTGTGGTTTCTTGATATAATCAATTTATTGTTTTTCGCGCAAAAACTTATCATGTTAAACCTCTTGAAATTTCGGGAATTGTTTCTGATTGATATTTTTTCTAATAATTATCCCATTTAAAGAAAACTGGATCAAAATGTTTTTTTTTATTCCGCTGGGAATTCAGAAAAACCAATTCAAAAAAAGAAGTACGTTTGAAACTTAAAATCAATCATGTTTTTTGTGACGTTTAGACAATCGCCGTTCGATAATAGGGTTTACCTTCTTTTCAAAAGCGAAATAAATTGAAAATCAAAAGAAATCAAAGTCAAGCCGTAAAAAATTGAGCGTGAATTTCCCGAAGAAGAAAAACATCACTACTTATATAAGTAACAATCAATTTTTCTTATACACTTAAAAACATAGTTACTTTCGAAAGCACATGAGACATAGTGAGTTCTTCCATATATCTCAGGCTTTTTCCTATATTTCTCATGATCTAGGACTTGTGTCCAGGGGCTTTTGTACGCCAGCGTATAATCCTCAACAGACCTCCAAACTTATGTAACTTCGACTACTAGCAGGCGTCATGGACCCAGTATTTAGCAAAAACTAATTGAATGTAATTTTCCTTAAAATACTACTACACACCTTTTCACGTGTCGCGATTCCCTTGTTTGGATGATGATCATTGCCCTTATCCGGCTTACCACTGACATCTAGATCTCCAGACACCTTCAAATTCTTCTCTGGAAGCCGAGGAATGACAGCTCTATTCCCATTACGTACGTTGAGAAATCTACTTGCTCCGTTGATCACTTTACCTACCTCAGCGGTAGATGATGTCAGTGAGAAGAACAAAAGAAGAATGAAAGAATATAAATTCATTCTGAGTGAATTTTAAGAAATCGTTGTTTTAAAAGAATTTAGGACGCGCTGGGAACTTGTTACCACGGAAGAGTTCAAATGTTGATAAGTATTACTTTAAAAAAGAATGCTATCTTTACCCAGATTAATACAAAACTCTTAATTCAATTTGTCATTACGTTCCCTGCTGTAAAAACTCCATTTATCTATGTTGAGCAAACATACTCGACCAGATTCTTCAAATAATTTAATAACTTTTAAAGTGACGCCCGAAATTTGCTCTTAAATTACACTTATGACTAGAAAATTTCAACAATATAGCAACTATTAAAAATCGTAATCATGTTATCAAAAGTAATGACTAAGCAAGTTAATCATTGATCAGCAAGGATTAAATTTCTTGGATATGTTATCTTGAAACACATATTATTCCATTAAATCCGTGGTAACGGCGAGATAAAAAACGAACAAAAAATAATGAAAACCTCAATATACAGAAACGAAGTTCAATAATACAGTAACTAGACTCAATTGAAAATATGAAAAGGCAACGAAAATGTTTATCGTTACAGCTAAATCCCGATTAAAAATAGAAAAAACTAGGAAAAATTGGATGAGCAAGTGGATAATTGTGCTAAAACCAATGATGGTAAAGTTATTCATAATAATAAAAAAGGATAGCTGGTTGCTGTGCAAGTAGCACATGAAGTTCCGACAACATTTTAATCTCTATGTTTCGAACTTCCATTGTTTTGTGCTCGTTGTAATAACAGGAACTAGACAAAAACTTTAAGCGATGGGCAAAATTGACTACAATTGCTTTCAAAACATTTTTATAACAACCTTTTTTTTCAAATTTCATTACGAGGCCAAACTGTGCATTTCGCGCATTGAAAGCGGATTCCGCAACAAGGACGCTCCCTTTGTTCTTCTTTTGTTCTTTACTTTCCTTTGATCGTTCCGACAAAATTCAAAATGTTTAAAGACTTGTCCATGGAACCCAGGAACATACAGACAAAAAATTGTGCGCCTATCCAGTGCACAGTTTGGTAATGTTTTTGCAGATTATTGAATTTTTTTATTATTGCCAAGCGCTAAATGAAGCTTCCAATATTAGTTTTCCTATAGTAAAAACAATTTTTTCGTTTAAATTATTGTACACAGGCGAAGTTGCACTTCGCATACAAAAGCAAAATGAGACCGATAACGCTACTGTGAAAAACTATAAAAACTTTGAGTCTTCAAAACTTCATAAAAGACGCACGCCATTTATGAGTCTACATAATTGCTAAGCGACGCAAGCCATTTATGACGGCTTAGCAGTTTCAGTCAATTTGAAAAAAAGGAATTTATCAATTAACATGACTCAATTTATAGAGTGGACGCATTTTAACTAATACAAGAAAATGTTCATTAAAAACATCCAACCCTGCCCAGGTTCGAACCCGCTTATTTTGTTACGGTCTCCTTCCCTACCTATGCGCTACAGATCCATGATACGCTCCATATGCGCTCCATATCCTTAGCATTGGCTGTACTCAACAGCTCGTGATTGATCAAAATGAACACTTTCAAAATGAACTTACTTTGTCGCAACAATATTTGCGACTTGGGCTGAAAAAAAAGAGAGTTCATACAATCACACAAGCTTTGCTTCAAAGATAATGTTCACAAACACTAGCTTCCCAAATAATAGCGAGAACCCGACAAAAAAGCAGCTACATAAAGCAATAAAAAAATTTGAAATAAGCCTAAAACTAGTTTTAAAAAATTGGCTGCGGCTTTAATATATATCACTCGACTCATTTTGATAATTATTTATCACTCGAAGACAAAGTTCCTCGACCTTTCAACGGTCGGAACAAACACTGCTAGCTTCGATAAAAACCTTTTACAAATTGTTATTTTTCAAAAATAGCACGGGCACCTAAGCTATTTTAACACAGAGTTATTTAAAATTTCCCAAAACGAAACACAGATTCACCTATCTCTCTAATCCCCATAAAACCATCGCTGATTAACATCCGACCCAGATAAAAACATTCACAAACGTATCCTCTTTTAATTATTCGTACACAGAGGCGAAGCTGAGCTTGGCCCCACTTGCGATACACAATTAAGCTCCAAAAATCAAAAGATAATGCATCTCAAACTTGAATGGATTTAGTTGAAAAAATCTCAAATCGACTCAAAACTCAAATCGAAAATGTTAAAGACTTTAATTACCTTCGGCTTAACTCTGTCCATTTCCTTCTGATAACCAATAGATGAAAACGATAAGAAAACATTTCAATCAAAAAATTGAGATACAAAAAACCCCAAATTTACTCGAAAACTGTTCATTAAATCTTGCAACCAAACAACCCGCATATCCAACAAGAACAATCGGTGGTGAAAGGGCCCACTACGCTAATTGCTATAATATAAAACCAAAAAGAAAAAAAAACAAAGTTTCAAAAACATGAATGCAAAAAATACAAACAATTGTCACAGAAAAGAACTTGCCGTAACTCTGAAAAAAGTCAGAAAATCTATAAAAATAACCCAATTACATCAAGAATTATCAATTTTGAATATTATTCGCAACGGAAAAAGAGCACACTTCAATCACCTAAATCACACTTCAATAATTGAAACTTAACGTACTTTTAGAACAAAAAAATCAGAAACTATGCATCCAAAAAAAAACTAAAATTTTTTGCAAAAAAAAATCCAGCAGAAAAATTCAAAAAAGTTTTTATTTCTAACAGAAATTTTTTTGGCGCCTATACAAATCAGAAAACGATGAACTATACTTACCCTCATAAAAATGAAAAGATTACTAAAAAATCGATCAAAAAATTACAGAATTAATTACCCGGCAAGTAAGCCGACAGAAATTGGGTCGAAATCAATGAAGGTGACAAAACTTTCAACTGTAAAACAATTATTTATTCAGTCATTGAAGCCAGCTGTTGAATTATGGCTGTTACACCGGCAAGTTGGGTAGAAAAAGAGATATGAATTTGGAGATGATCACAAATTTCATTCATCCTGTGTACTATTTTCAAATTAAACACTGAGACGAAGTTGCGCTTCGCATAACACAAGCAAAAATATGACCGATAACGCTACTCGGAAAAACTAAATGAGAAAAACTTTGAGTCTACTAAATTTCATAAGTGACGCACGCCAATTATGAGTTTACATAATTGCTAAGTGACGCAAGCCAATTATGACGCAGTAGCAGTCAATTTGAAAAAAAAAGAAACTTACCAACTAACATGCCACAATTTATAGAGCGGACGTATTTTTACTAGTATACGAAAAATTACATTAAAAACAATCGACCGTGCCCAGGTTCGAACTCTCTTATTTTGCTGCTGGTCTCCTTCCCTCCCTCTACGCTACAGATCGATGATGCCTTGAAGCTTAAGTGCTATTTGTAATATAATAGTCTGTGTTAATATCCTTAGCATTGGCTGTACTTATTAGCTGGATCAAAATGAGCACTTTCAAAATGAACACATTTTGTCGCAACAATTGCATCGCATCAATATTTGCGACTTACGTTGAAAAAAAAAAGAAAGTTCATACTATAACACAAGCTATGCTTGTGTAAACAGCTTAATCTTGGACTCATGAATGAAGTCAAAATAAACTCAAAACTCTTGGGTATAATTTTTATCAAAATGATTAAGATGTAGTTTTCATGTTAAGAAACGATCAAGTTCCAAGTGCTTTATAAACCATCTGTAAGTTTCCAAGTAGAAATTAGTTGAAGCTTTAGGCAGTGCAAGCGGGTGGCAGTCTTCCGGATATTCGTAGAGCACCGTCTTCGCCTTACCCTGGCCCAAAAGGGCGTGGTAATACTCCCGTCCTTGGGAAGGAGGAACTCTTCTGTCTTTCAATCCCAAATGCACCTGAGTAGGCGTGATCACTTTATGAACATGACTCATGGGCGACTTGGACCAAGCTTTGCTGTAGAACTCCGGGTCACTGACTTTGTTGAACTCAAATTGGGTTCCAGAGGCCTCAAACTCGCACCAATCGGGAATGTCAGTGACTCCAAGCATAGACCCAATGTTAGTGACTGGGTTTCTGACTGAACAAGCTTTGAAAGTGTCCGGATATTGACCAATCATGTGTAGCGACAAGAACCCTCCGTGCGATCCGCCTGTGACTGCTAGTCTTGCGCGATCACACTTCCAATCTGGACAATCCAGAGCCGCTTGAAGAGCTTTGAAGCAATCTGACACGTCTGACGAGCCAACTTGACCTGGATAAGAATGAAATCAATGCATTCAAAATCTCGAAAGTTGTCAATAAAATCGAAAAAGCAACTGAAAACAGGACACTATTCGAAAATTTGTTTCATCACAAAATGCTTTTTTCTTGTTTTAGAGATTAGGTTAAGTTAAGGCCATTTATCCACGAGTGAAAGGACCAGCCGCTGTTGTGCCCCTGCCTAAGAACTACATTCAATTTTTTTTGCTATTTTTCTGGGCTGGGTGATTTTGCCTCACCCTCAAGCAACGAGCACGGATCGTGGTGGGCCTCGAACATCCGACCTTTCGATTGAGATGCGAAGACGTAACCATTTCATCACCTCTCCATATATATAAAGGGCGCGTAGCCACAGAGCCGCATTCCCGGATAGCCGAAAAAACTAGAAGTTTCTTGTTAAGATAACTAGCAACAAAACCAAATTTGACTAAGAAGGCAAATTCGACACAAAATAAAAATTAGACTACTTTCATTCGAACGATAATCATGTTTTTTTTTCGGAACTAAGCTAACAAAAAAATCCAATGGACTCAAAAACTTTTCTATGCGTAATAACTTTCGCGGTAGTTTCATGGAATTAGATAGCAATAGAAGTTGATAAATACTTTGATAACGCAATATTTTTTTTTCGGCTATCCGGTAACAAATTTTTTTTTTCGGTTATCGGGGAACAAAATTTTTTTAGCTTTCCAAAAAAATATCATTTTTGATTATCAGGGAAATTTCGGCTATCCAGTAAACAATTAAAGAGCAAAATTAAACACAAAGGCGAAGTTGCACTTCGCATGCACAAGCAAAAATATGACCAATAACGTTACTGGGAAAAACTGAATGAGTAAAACTTTGAGTCTACATAGTTTCTTAAATGACGCACGCCAATTATGAGTCTACATAGTTACACAAGCCAAATATGACGCATTAGCAGTACCAGTCAATTTGATGAAAAAAAATTTACCAACTAACATGCCTCAATTTCAGCGCAGACGCATTTTAACTAGTATACAAAAAAAAGTTCAATAAAAACATCCGATCCTGCCCAGGTTTGAATCCTCTTATTTTGTTGCGTGTCTCCTTCTCTACATCTACGCTACATATCCATGATACCTTGAAATTAAAATGCTATTTGTAATAAATTAGTCTGTGTTAATATCCTTCGCATTGGTGTATTTAATAGCTGGTTATTGATCATATGCACATACTGCAATGAATGAACACTTTCAAAATGAACACTAATATTTGCGACTTAAATTGGTAGAAAAAACTAAGAGAGTTCATTCTATCACACAAGCTTGGCTTGAGTAATTAGACTCTTGAGATGGACACAGGGAGCAGGCGCCAAAAAGTGTTCAATACCTCAACTTTCTGCGAAAGTTTTTTGAAATATTTGCCTCCGTCACAAAGTTTGGTCAAAATTCAAATCTTTACAGCGTTTCGGCATCGCTCAATTTTAGCCGATCCAATGAAAAACGTCGATAGAATTTTCGGTAACAGTCTGATCGAGGGGCTTTGGTAAAAACCAAGTGTGAGAGAGGGGTCCCGAATCACACTATTTGAAGCTATAACAGCAATTAACTAATCTTTATGCGCCGTTCGGTTGTTTCAATTTTTTTCTAAAACGTAATTGATCTGTCTCTTTGCGCGTACTTATTCGGTACTTTGATCATCTTCATCAAAGCACTAAATTGAATAATTTTGTGGCAATATTTACATTAGTGACCCGGTTAGTTTCTTGGGACCCCTCTATCACACTTTTACCGAATTTTTCAAAAACAATTCTTTTCCCCATCATATTAGTTTCTATTCTGAGGGTCTATAAACTACTTGGGATGGTGGCTATAATGAAAAAAAGCTTTTTTCATTATATATGACAAAACAAATTAACATTTTCAGCAATAAATTTTTGGGGTGGATCGAAACGAATTTTTTGGCTATCGGGAACAAGAAACCAGAGCGAGATATAGAAACCAGCGCGTATCAAAACATATATTTAGGGAATGCACAAGCGGAGAATACTCAAGGCATCGATTTTTTCTACTCAACTTCATCATTGCCGCTAATTAAAAAAAAACAATTATTTTATTTTTACTCTATACTCGAAAATGTTTCCTTCTTTAGTCAACTCACCGCCCAGGGATTTCAAAGACTCTTCTGTAAACCCTAACGATCCCGTGTAATTGACCAGTACAATGTTGAAACCCAATTCAACAAAAAACGCAACATTCTTGTCAAAGTAGTTGACGAATAGAGTATGTGGGCCTCCGTGAATGAACAGAATACAAGGTCGAGGTTTTGATTGGTCCTTGGGACCCACCAAGTAATATCCTTTAGTCTCATACTCGACTGTTCGGACAAAGAAATCGTAATCAGTCGTTTTAGTTGGCAGCAGACTTTCACTGAATGCACTTTTCTCCAAATCCGAACATAACACTAATTTTTCGGGTTCCGAGAATGAAGATTTTGCAAGAACTAGTAGGTTTTTGAAACAATCCAGTACTCTCAAGGAGCATTTATCATAACTTGAGCAATCAGCACCTATAAATATGACTTCAGAGGTTTCGATGTTAAAAGTCTCAGGAACTAATCGCGACTTTCTATATATGTTCACACAAAAAGTGTTTGCTGTGATCCAAGGATGCCTCGGAATAGACTCTATGGCAAAATTTCCAAATGAAGTTACATCATGGGAGTTCAAATCAAATTTAACGATTGCTTTAAACTGCATATGAGGTCCCATTGGATCATTTGCGACTGCAACCAAACTTTTGGAATCTGGGGTTCCTATAACCCAACTGTAGCAACTTGGTCTATAGTTTTTTGAAGGGCATGCAACTTCTTTTGTAGTCAGATTTACGACAAAAAGGTCACTTTCTCTATTGTTACTATAAAGCACTCCCAACTTGAACGCGTGGCACTTGTATCCTATCGCTGCAATGGTGTCATCTGAGATCCAAGTTGGCGAACAATAATCGTATCTGGAGTCAAGAAGGTCCAGCACTGTGACTTCTTTTGAACTTCTGTTAAAAATGCAGACGTCTGTATTTGTTACATCACTAAATCCCTCGCCCCAAGAGTCATTGATTTGGAATTCATTTAAACCGGAAGCACAATCGCCCTAAACACAATCAAGCAACTTATTCGAGCAATCTTAAGGTTAAACTAGGTAAATTAATACTGAAACTTAATGGCCTACATGTAAACTATCTTAAGACATTTTCTACATAAATACTTCGAACTGCGACACCTTTAACTAGCACAATTTCTACTCTACAAAACTTCCTACTAGAATACTTCCTTACTAGAAGGAGAATTTACTTCACTCAGATAACATCGTATACAATTTAATTAAACTTGCACATGACTTGCACCTAGGGAGCTTTAAATAGATTGTTGAACGTCAACATAATTAATTAAAATATATAAAAAATACGATATTTAATAAAAAACTAAAACTAAACCTAAATTTCATTCATTGAACGATTTGCGAAGTCGAGTTTTACATTATTTTTGACCACGAAAATCAATCTCCAAAACTACTGAGTTTCATCAGATAGTTGAACTTTAACTAAAAATAGGACCCTAAAGGGGCCTACAGCTTACAAATGCACTTTTAATATTGAAAGAAGTTCAAAAATACTACCATCAATCAGATTTTTATTGAAAACCTCTCTAGTTTACTGAAAAAAGAATTAATTAAAGTTGTCAAATTTGGAAAGAAAAATAAAAAAATTCAAGTGTGAGGAACCTTACAACCCCTCGGATTGCCCTGACCCACCAAAAAGGTTGAATTTTCAAATTTTCCTAATCTAAGTTTGTGAAAAATTTGAAAAAATCATAAAAAGACCATAACTGAAACCAACAGGATTTGAGCAACCGTACTTGGAGGCCAGATTTTGAACCCCTAGTTTTACCCTGACAGAACACCACTTTCGGGTTCTGACAGCATTTTAATCTAAACTTTTTGAAGAAAAAAACTGAAAAAATCATTAAAAACGCTCATATCTCGGAAACCAAAAAGTTTCAGCAGTAATATTTGAAGGCCATACTTGCAATTCATGACTGCACCCTTACAGAACCCCACAGTGTTGAGAATTTCAAGTTTTGTTAGTTTCTTCTCATCTGAGTTTTTTGAAGAAAAAAAATTCATAAAATCCATAAAAAACGCGATATCTCGGAACCTACAAAGATCGATTATTATCATTTTTAAGCTTTTAATGTCTAATTTAGATAATTAGTCTAATTTCAATTCATTTACTAAAAGAGAACAACAGCAAAATTTTGTACAGGATTTATTGCTGTTGTCAGGACATTTTGTGCTGCTTTAACACCAACGGACTACTCTTGTTATGAGTAACCGTTAAGTTTCATTTCACTCACCTTTCCATAATGCAAGTATTTCTCAGGCCGTTTCTTCTCCGCAATGTAAACTACTCTCTCGTTCAGAGCCCCACCCAGAGCTAACCCACCCATTCCACTGAACTGGTCCCCATTAACAATCTGTTCATGCTTCTTCATCAGTGACATGTTGAACACTTCAACACCCCCTTCACTGCTCCAGAACTCCAGATAGTCCGTTTTGTCTCCGCTAGTCTGTTGCAGATAACAATTATGTAATCTAAGCGACATTCGAAAAACACCACCATCAAAAATCGTAATTAGCTTAGAACAATTCTTGACTTTGAGCAACATGAAAGCTTTCCAAGAAAACCGGATGTTGAAAACGCGACTGGATTACTTTTGAAACACTGTATCCGATACAGTTTCTCGAGTGAAAATTATAACTGTTAAAAATTAATAACAGAATTAATTTTCTATTGTTAATTAATTTTCTAGTTAACTTTATTGTTAATTGAGATTGAAGTTTGAATCCTCTTCTCACTCGTTGCAGCATCTCAATAAAACTACATCGGGGAATGACTACATTGTCGACAACGACAACGGAAAACAGACAACGACAATCTACAACTCAACAATCGGATGTACACGAGCCTTCTCTCCACTGCCTTCACTACACCGTGCACACAACTGCCCCAGGAAAGCACTCTTTTTCAAGAGTCATAAGTCGGCCGATAAAGCCTGTATAAAGGTGCTATTGGAACCAAGTCCCAAACCGGCACTTGCAAACCCAACGGTGCGCAGCCAACCTGGGTTCTGACTTCGATCGGTCGCAGTCCTGATTGACTTTTTGTCCCTCCAAGAAAACAAGATATCTGTGTTGGTGCCGGCTCTCGGATAGGAGAGTGTCACGGCCGCAGATCTAGAAGTTGGTTGGTCCCTATAACACCCTAGTCTAAGCAACACATTGCGAAAGCAGTGCTAGCATTCTAGGAGGCAGAGATACGTTGCGACCGGGTCTGCGATTGCTTACTTGGACAACCTCTACTCTGTCGTTATTGTTGGACCTACCAAGAGTAACCCGACGGAAGAGGGTCTAGAGTGAAGAAGAAAGTGCCCAGAAGGACGAAGAGGGTGCAAGAAGAAGGGCTACCAAGAGTAACCCGACGAAAAAGAGCCTAGAGGGAAGAAGAAAGTGCCCAGAAGGACAAAGAGGGTGCAAGAAGAAGAAAGTACTAGACGAAGAGGGTGCAAGAAGGAGCATTCCTGCTCACATAGTGAGCGAAGAAACCCCCCCCCCCCCACAATGCCATCATCCCTTAACTCCCAAATGGCATCAGCAATCGAAAACTACGACCAAAGCGATGACGAATCTAATTCCGAGTTAATAATCGAAGGAAGCCTGACACCAACAAGCAATGATCAAGAAAAGGCCTCGCCTCAAAGGCAACTGACAATGGGACCAAACCAAGATCAACATGCTGATTACATCACAGTAAAACGAAAGCAGTTCAAGAATGTGCCCAAAGGGCAACCGACAATGCATTCAGAAAACTGGCAAGAAAATCTTGATGACGCTTCGCCTAAAAGGCAACCGACAATGGAGCAAAGTCAAGCAACTAATCGAAAGCGCAAAGCGGAAGAATCACAAGCTCAAAGCAACAAAAGACTAAATATCACGAACATTATCTACATAAGCTTTGCAAAAGACAAAATTCCAAGCCGAATGACTTTCACCAAATCAATACGTAACCTGACTTAAGTACAATATCCTGGTCAAACCAGGGACCTCAAGACTGGCCTAGGCTATTCAATCAAGCCTGAATCGCCTCAAATTGCCCAAATTATCACCCAAGCCAACCTCGAAGTCCTGTTTCCCGACACAGAAGTAAAAATCGGAGGCAGACAACACAAGACAAACCAACCCAAGAAGAAACAAACTTCCAGCTTTGTTATCTCAAGAGTCAGTGAACAACTCAGCGAAGCTGACATCCAATCTGAACTTGAGGAGATCAACAACATCAAGGTAGCAAAGCTCTTCCGAATCCAAAGCAGAAGCCTAGACAAGCCAACACAACTCAGAGTTTTCACAGATGATGACCTCGCCTGCAGAAAGGCAATCGACAATGGGGTCTACATCTGCAACGAACTGAAACGATGCGAAGCATCCAAAACAGAACCACGAGTAACACAGTGTTACAAATGCCAAAATTTCGGCCACATGGCCATTAACTGTCCGAACCAGCAACGATGCCTCAGATGTGGCGACAACCACGCAGTCAGAGACTGCAAAATTCCAAAGCAGCAAGTTAAATGCATCAACTGCAGAGGCGAACACCCGGCGCAGTACAAAGGCTGCCCGGTTTACAAGACAGCTCAAGTCGAAGCCCAAAAAGCACAACCAAAAGTGCAAAGCTACGCTCAAGTAGTCAAACCACAACCAACCACAACCAACCACAACCAACCATGAGCAAAGAGGACATACAGCAGTTCATTAAAGAAACTGTTGAAACTACAATAGCCGATCAAGTCGAAAAAGCAGTGCAGAAAGCCATGGACGAAAAGATAACCGATGCAATCACCAAAGCCGTCGCTAAATCATGTGAGAAAATTAACGAAACAGTCAGCAATGCAGTTAAAACTCAATTCGAGAAAATAGATTTCACTGAACTGTTAACATCAAATATCAAAGCAAAACAAAATACAAAAACACACAGAGAAGCAAGCAGCAGCAGACATAGTAACTCCCGAAATCAAAACAACAACAATAAACCAAAATGAATAGACTCAAGATAGCACAACTCAACTGCAGAAGTATAAACAAGCACAAACTGGAGATCCAAGATCTTCTAGCGAAACACAACATCACTATAGTCTGCTTCAACGAAACAAAAACCAAATATCCACCAAAACTACAAAACTTTAACCTTGCAGCAGCAATCTGTGACAGTGTCACAGGCTCGGCAATTTACATCAGAGACAACATACAGTACCAAGTACTGGAAAAAGCACAACACATAAACCAAAACCACAGAGAATGCAGAAAAGTATGCGAGACGATCAAGATCAACACAATGGGTATCACTGTAACAAGTGTTTACCTTAGCCCAAACGCAGAGATAGAGAACGTGACTTTCAAGGGAATAGATCCAAAACACATCATCGTTGGAGACTTCAACGCACAGATCAAATCTGTCAACCCAAAAGCAAGAGCAACCAACAGCAACGGAAGAGTTGTAGACGCTCTCATGCACAACTACTTCATCTTGAACGGTTCCGAACCAACACACCAAAGTGACTCAGTCCTAGACTTACACTTTGCATCACCAAAAATGGCTTGCCTATGCACGAACTTTGAAGTGTCAGACACAACACCAAGCGATCACTACATGACAATTGCAGAGTACGAACTAACTGTTCCAAAGAGAACATGCACAAAACCAAACTGGCGAAAATTCAGAGGTACAGTAACGAACTACAAGTTCAACCCTGACTCAATCAAAACTGACGAAGGTCTAGCTCGAGAAGCTGACCAGATAGCCAAACACATTGACAAGTGCTACCAAGGCAGCCTAAAAGAACACAAGCACCAATTCACGAACCCACAACTAGTCGAACTAGTCAGAAACAAACACAAACTTGAACGACAAAAACAAAAGATGAGACGATATGACCAACAAGACACCAGTGACTACAAAGACCTGTGTACAAAGCTAAACAAAACAAAGAAAGACATCAGACAGCTAAAACAGACAGTAGAAGGAGAAGACCAACTCAAACTACTCAGTGAAATGAACAAAGGACCAACACAACAGAATTTCTGGAAAGCAGAAAAAAAGCTCACAGGCACAAAACCTAAACGAACGAGTAAACTGAAAATGACAAATCAAGACGCTGCGAACCACTTCGCTAAGATGCTCAAAGCAAACATGACGACAAATATAACAAACTCTCAGGCAGCTCTAACGCATGAACAGGAAGTACATGACAAGGTGTCCCAGGCGAAAATCCAAGATTTTCAACTGGAACAGACAGGTTTTGCACAAACAGAGATTAGCTTAAAGCAACTCAAAGACGTGATCAAGCACAGTAAGAACACTGCCCCAGGACAAGACAAAGTTAGCTACAAAGCGATGAAAAACCTGCCCAACAACGTACTAGAAGTACTAAGACAAATCATAGTACAATCGCTGAGAAGTGGCTACGTTCCTCTAGGCTGGAAACAAGCGACAGTATCAATGTTACCAAAACCCGAGAAAGACCACAAAGATCCCAAGAACTATAGACCACTCTCACTTACAAGCTGTATCGGGAAGATCTGCGAGTGTTTTGTCAAAGAGCAGCTGCTAGTACACTACGAAGATCACGACATCTTCGGACACTTTCAAAGTGCATACCGAAGCGAACGATGCACCACCGACAATTTACTCTGTCTAACAGAGACAATCTATAATGAGAATAACTGGAAGCAACCCGTTGCAGCAGCATTTCTGGACGTGCAACGAGCTTTTGACTCTGTCTGGCACGAAGGCTTATACTACAGACTACTAGAAATCAACTGTCCGAAGTGGATTGTAAAATGGACCAAGAGTTTTCTGACAGACCGAGAGTTAACAGTAGTATACCACCAAGCCAAAGCCGACAGTTTTACACCCATTGCAGGAGTACCACAAGGAAGTGTAATCAGTCCAATTCTTTTCAACATCTATGTAAGCAAACCAGATGCAGGTCTAACAACAATATCACAATATGCCGACGACATAGCAATTTACACAAGTTCAAATACAAGCAAGAATGCAACACACAGACTACAAGGTGGCCTAAACAAACTTGAAGCATGGTGCCAGAAATGGAAGATAGACGTGAACCCGGAGAAGACGAACTTTATACTTTTTACAAGACACAAGAAGAATGACTGCAAATTAATGCTACAGAACGAAGAGATCGAACCATCAACAACCACTAAATTTCTGGGAATTACATTAAATGACAACATGACATGGAAAGACTATCTACAAAGAATTGAAGACAAATCGACAAGGAAAATCAATTTTCTACTAGTACTACGAGCCAAAGGCATCAAATCCAAAGTCTTAAAGTTTTTGTACCAATCAACAATTCTACCAGTATTCACATACGCATCCCCTTCGTGGGCAAACGCATCTACAAGGCACTTACAAAGATTACAGAACAGAGCACTAAAAATAGCCTACCATCTACCAGTAACAACAGCAACAGACGAAGTACATAAAATCACCAGGATGAAGACGATTCAAGAAGAACTAACAAGACTAAACTCAAATTACCTCAAAAGAGCTGCACAGACAAACCCCAAGATACAAGAACTAATCCGAGACACTCTACAACAATCAACAGACACATACGCACACAGACTCACACCAATACAAGCAATTTTCTAACAACACCTTTCCGCAAGATGAACAACACCCGGAAGTTAACAGCTTAAATAGCAGCTGGTCTGCTTCAGAAGCTTAATTGGTCACAGACCAACACATACTTATTACTCAATAAAACTACATCGGGGAATAGCGCTACTTAGAATTTTCAGGGAAACATTTCGAGAAAAAATGAATTTGCTGCACATCTACAAGATGAAACTTATCGATATAATTTCTTCCAGGAATCAACAAACAAAATTGGAATCATTCCAAGGCTATCCAGTAATAAAGACTGTTGTATAACTCACCAGCTTCGTAGTTTCAATTACATTAGCTAATCAGATGGTATATATTTGGTTCAACTCAAAATAGTCATAATCAGTCTGTTCTTTCCGCTTTCACTTCTCTATGCGCTTTCCAAATACTGTGCTCTTCGCCCTATTCAATTAAGGAACGTTCCTGACAGCTTTTTCTGAAAATTACTTAATCACAGGCCAAGTCTTTTCTGTGGCAACTAAGCCCACAATTATAAGCAGACAAACGATAGCCATCACTTTTTTTTCAAGCGGCAGTTTTTTCAGGTATAAAAAAGAACAGGTCCTAGCCAGGTAGGGACATTACCTCCAGGCTAAACGTGTTCGATGCAGAATTTGAATCGATTCAATGATTCTGTCAAGCAAATTGTTTAACTGAAAAAAATGCTCGGTTTTAATAACGCTTTCTAAATCTATAATTTGAAAAAGCCTGAAAAATGGAATAACCAAGCTCATAGTAATAACTATAGTAGTAGTCGATAAAAAAATCCCCATTGGAAGAGCAAAACCGAAAACTTTGGCCGTAACGCAATATATAGAAAATATGATTACTAAAGGAAAGAGTACATAAAAGATTTCCACCTCAAACTCTTTGCAAAACAAAACTAGCAAATTATAAGCAACGCAAATTAATCAACCGAAACGCCGATAAAAAACAAGCCAAAACCTTTATTCCAAAAAACTACATACAAGAACAAACTTTTGAAAAAATATATATGTAATTTCGATTCCGGTCGGAGTGTTCCCGATGTCATCCGCCTCCCCTCCCCTAGGACCATACTGCAGTGGGTAGCGCTGAGGCCAAACTGTGCGTGATGACTTGTAGACGAAATACTACCTCACCGATTCACATTATGTACAACAGAATTGGTCAGTAACTTATCAGCGAGCGGTTGCAGCTTGTTTAACAAAATATTTACCGAAAAAACGCTTTGTGTCCGATTACATTAAAACCTGTTATGATCGCAAGTATAAGTACTTTGCAATGTCTATCTTTCTTTTTGAAAGAATTCATCTCCTGTTTTCATGGACTTACTTCTGAAACTGTGTGAACCACATAAGCTGAGCCATCTTTGGCGAATGCTTCAGCTTTGCTTGTTTCTCTCGATGTTCGGCCGACAAAGTTCAGTGACACTTCAGATTGACTTTCGGCTACTGCATAAGTCTCAGTCACTGCTCTGCTTTGCAGCTTGACAGCATCGGAGAAGTTGGAAAAGCTGATAACAGATGTTCTACAGCCAGTTTGGTAGAGCTTGGCAGTTTTCGCATTGGACGAATCCAAAAACACTCGTTTTAAAATGTTTTCTGCCATTGGTTGTCTGAAAGCAATTCTGAATACCTCAGGAAAAATTGAATCCAGTATTTTTCACGCCGGGATTAACTACAGCCCATGTTTGGACATAACGCTAACCTCAAGCCAAAAGAATAGAAAAAAGATTTGAAAAAGGAAGTTTCAAAAGAGAGGGTTTAATGGGGAAAGCAGGATGTTTCATCATGAAGAATCTTGCAATACTCAATAACAAAAAAATCCAATGATGATTATTGCGAACAAAGAAAAAATCCTGTTGTCGTTGTTGTTGTAGTTGCCTCGTCAAAATCCTCGGCAGCGCATAAAATTCCGTAATTTCGGCAGCTTTCCTAATAATGGGCTTCGTTTTAGTTTGGAATAGTAAGAAGTTAGTTCAGTACTTGTTCAAAGCAGGTTGAATTATTCTTAGTTTAGGTTATTTTCAGTACTTCCAGTGGAAGGTTGTTATTTTTGTCGTCTCTTCCAAGTCTAACACAGCATTTTGTACAGTTTGAAGTATTCGAATGGGGCAGCGTATTCTAGGACTGCTCTTAGCTTTGTGGCCAACTAGAAGCGTTTCCTTACTTTGGCCCGTTCTTGCTGGCTACCGCTTTCAAGACTGAGCTACGCTTCTCGCCTTTAGTAGCTTGGATCTTGCAGTGTAGTGATTATTTCATGAATGGCTCTAAGTTGAGTCCTAGGTTTTTGGGACTGTGGTCTAATGGGAGCAGAGTGTTCTGAATTTTGACTTAAATGTGAGTTTCATAGTCTTTTGAGTCAGGCGAGAACGGAGTTACTGCGCATTTGGAGGGGGAGAGTTCTAAGTTGACACTGAAAAAAAGGTGTGGATTGACTATAGGTGAGCGGAGAGTTTTGATATTGGTGCCTTGGATGTAGACATTGAAGTCGTCCGCTTAAGATATAATGAATACTATTTCGGGTGGAGAGGGGCAATCGTGGACTTGGGATATGACTGAGCCTTGAGGGACTCCACTAGAAAACAAAGCCTCGACTCCAAGTAAACAATTCCTCGATAATGCTGGTTACAGCCTAATATAATTTAATTTATGAGGTGATTTAATTGCCATTTTGACGCCCTTCGAATGCAATTCTTCTTTTATGTTAATGCTTCTCTTGATCATAAAGTCCCCAATGGAACAGGGGAAGTGCTTTCATTGCCGCGTTTAAAATTCAAGTATTCTTTATCATTGGATTCATCCTACAATGGGTGGTTTCGTTGCTAGATACTACTGAAAATTTCAAAAAGATTATTTCGCATCAAACAAACCCCTCCGATATGCTCGTGAAACCTCATCAGAAAGAGAAAACTGCAGAGTAAGAATTTGTGCTTATCTAGAATACTCTTTAGAATCATACTTGTCATTGGTTGTTGTTCCGACCACGAAGAGGGAAGGAATTTTGTAAACGGGTTTACTTCCGTTTTTTCCATGCACAATCCCGTACCACACATAAACGTCAGGTTGCATTGCTATAAATATAATTTTCAAAATTTCTGTCGTGGTTCGACCAATAATTTAAAATAACTCCTCCGAGCTTCATTGAGCACTTTCTGACACCAAAACTTATATTTGCAAAAAATTGAAAAACTTCATTTTTTTCAGGTTCTGTTCTGATTATTGTTCTAATTTTGGCTTTGTTCTTATTTTTGCAATTAAATCTGTAGTCAAATAAGCATTTACTTAAAATCTAAAAAAAAACTTTTTATAGTTCCTCTCTCAACAAGTTGTGAAAATAGCACGGAGTATTAGCAGCTTTTTTATTAGCCCTCGGTCCTGCTCATTAGCAGTCTTATCTTTGTAAAGAAAAAACGAAAGAATTCACAATAATTCACCTATTGATCGAATCAAGACCGTACGGACTTTCGTATGATACATCACTCAAAATCATACGACGTTTATTTATGGTATCTAATAAATTTAAACACCTCAAGCCTTGTTTCCTTCCCACTTTCAGTGTTCAGAACAATAAAAAAAAGACAAAACCTTAAAAAACGAATATATCGTGAACATCATTCAAACATAGCCAACAAACAGCTGAAGAAGTGCCAATGAGCTCAGCTCAAGCTGTATTTTTTATAGGTTATTTTGACTACCTTAGAGAAAGCTCGAAGGGGTTCAAGGCAAGAGTCTTATAAAACCCCTTTAAAATCGTGATCCAGATTCTGAATGAAGCGCATGAAGTTTTAGCTATTCGGAATCAGTGTTTCAGAGAATGGATACTTTCTCCTCATTTCTACGACGATCTTTTTTCACAATATAATAAAAAAAGTTGCGAATCAAAAACAAGGATAGCCGGTTACTGTACAAGTAGCACAGAATGTTCCGACCATAGTCTTTAAAAAATAAGAAGTTAGTTTTTTTTTCAAAATGGTTATTATGCGTGCGGTGACAAAAGTCTGATGTATAACTATATTTTATGCATATTTGACATTCATATTAAAGAACTCACATAAGATAATATCTTTTTTTTTAAAACTGACTAGAAAAACAAAAATAAAAAAAACTCCAAATTTCAATTTTTTTTTTTGCAGAAAACTTTCCAAGTTTTTGAAATTTTTGGTTCCCAAAATGGAGCTACAAAACTCCAAAAATTAAATTCACTTGTTTCTAGTTAAATTTTTAGGCTCAAATTTATCCTAGTTAAGTTGCTGTAAGCCTGCTCGCTTGCTTTATTCGCTCGAATTAAGACGAAAAATCTAAAACTTCAAACCGGTTTTTCCAAACACTGAGAAAACTTTTTCAACTTTTTAAGGTCGCTCAAATCACGACTGAAGGGGTTTTAATATGCTATATCACTCAATCCAGTCCGATGATTATTTGTGGTAGCTGGTTTTGCGAGGAAAACAAAAAAGAAAAAACTAAAACACACCCGAATACAAAGTTCCACCCCATTTTCAAAGGTCGGAACAAAAACATAGCTTGGCAAAAGAGCCGACATAAAAGAAAAATGAGACTGGAGTCAAAAACAAATTCGACCCAATTTTGCAACAATAAAACGAAAGCGTTAAAATTCTTCAACTATCGATCGAATCAGCACCACACGGGCGTTTGTGTAATATATCGTTCGAAAATTTACGGCGTTTACTTGTGGTATCTTGAATTTCTAAAAAAAAAAACACCGCAAGTCCTATAATTCTTTCCCCTTTTTAATGTTAGGTACAATAACTACAGCGTCATTGCAAACTAGCGAATAGAAAATGAGACTGAAATAATTTGAAAATATATATTTTGGGAAAAAGGAAAAAAATCAGAAAAGTTGTCAAGAAACACAACGAAAAGCATTAATAAAGTCTTTAATTTTTTAACGTGAAGCCATTAAGCCGATGATGCATTCATGGAGCCAAAAAGGCCACTGTGGGCCGCTCATTGAGCCGAAAACGAAAACAATGTCAAAAGGAACTAATGAAATAGAAAACTTTTGAGCAAGTCAGTTTCAAAACTTTGAACTTCTGCAAAACTAGATACCTAATTTTTTTAATCAACCTTTTTGCCCTTGAAGTGATACAAATCAAGGAAATTAAGTCGATTAAACATATGCCGAAAATATTTAACAAACTTTTATGCCGAACAAACTTTTAAGCAAAACAAAAACAACAACAAAAAAGAAAATATACAAATTCAGGGCTTTTAATCTTATAAATTGCAGGAATACTTCACAAACAATAGCATTTACGACAAAAACTGTTGGCCGCAAAAAAAAATCCACAATGTGGCAACTAAGTCGACAGAATATAAGTAGACAAACAAAAGTCAATCCAATTTTTACCGGAAATGTTTTAAATAATTTTATACTAAAAAAAAGGTCCGGCCAGGACTCGAACCCTACCTTAGGATACAAAGACAACTGCGTTACCTCTAGGCCAAATGAAAAGCACGGGGAGCAGTCTCGAAATTGCTAAGATCACTAACTAAGTAACTCCAATTTCAACTTCAGATGTAAGCAAAGTTGTTAACGTGACAAAAAGTCTAGTTCCCGATTACAAGGCACTTGCTTTCGCAAGTGTAAATACAGAAAAAGACATCGAAAAAGGAATATTTCATGATAAACATTGTTTTCAAAAAACTAGTCCAACTAAGTAAAACTGCAACAACATGCAGTTTGCTGTATTCTAATGAAAAATCTATAAACCTACATCTATTTTCAAACTCTCAAGTAATTCATGTTTTCACTTTTTTAATTGGAGAGACTTATTTGCTTTCGATTTGGTAAAAATTAGATTAAATCGAATTTTAAAAAAATAATTCCAAAAGTTACGGTACGATAATCAACTGCCAAAGCAAACGAGACTCAACTACGAAAAAATTGATTAGCACGCTCGCTTATGGTTAACTGACATGAGGAAAAATCAATCCAGTAATTTTCATTCCGGGATTTACTATAGTCAGACCGTAAGAGCTATGTGGTTTCTTTAAAAGTATTATCGAGACTTCTTCATGGTAGTGATCATAAGCTTAATAGGCCCTAGATCGAACAGCAGTAACAAGTAAAATTTAAATAGCCCAACTTATGTTAATTAAAAATTAATTATTTTATTCTATTTTTTTTATAACAACTCTCGTAGAGCGTGAAGTAATTATGACGTAGCGTATTTATCAGCTATTTTGACTAACTTAGAGAAAAATCGAAGGGGTTCAAGGCAAAAGGTTTATAAAACTCTTTTAACCGTGATTCAGGTTCTGATTCAAATTTTCAACTATTCGGACTCAATGTTAGCAGAGAAAGGATGTTAGCAGACGAGCCCTTTCTAGAATACAAAATCAATAAACTTCCGAATCAACCACAGCATAAAAGAGCCGGCAGAAAACAAATGCAGCTGAAGTCGAGAAAAAGGGGCAAAATCCACTCACCTTTGCCAAAAAACGATAGAATTCAAAATGCTTCAGCTAACGATAAATTCCGGACCACACGGGCTTTCGTATGCTCTATCACTCGAAGTCTTACGGCGTTCATTTGTAGCAAGTACCTTAAATTTCTGAGAAAATCACCCCAAGCTTAATTCCTTCGCCTTTGCAGAGTTCAGAACAATAGATTACTGTAAAAACTAAAAATATGAAGATACCATGAACATCATTCAACCATAGTCAATAAACAGCTGGAGAAGTGTCAATTAACACAATAACAACAAAAAGCAATACCTTTTTAGAAACGATCCAAGTTCAAAGAAGAACGTACTACGATTAAAGCTTACTTTTTGACAGAAAAGGAAAAAAAGACCGAAGTAGCAACGCCGGAAAACAAACAAGATTATCAAAAATCTGTTGCCTCAATTTGTCTTGCATAATTCCATTTTCAGATTAGAACTCAATTAGAACAAGGACCAATACCAAAACTCAAGTAGAACAAAGACCAGTATTAAACACGGAGGCGAATCTGAGCTTCGCACTGCGTGCGATACAAAAACGAAAGAAAAACTGCTGCAAAAGCCCAAAACATCCGGAATAAAATTACTTGCAGCATTAGCAACTTTACAAAGAGCTTCCGGGAGGCTAAAAAATCACAAAATTAAAAAAAACGTAGTACCTCAACGCCAGATGCACCGAATCATTGATTGAATATGAACTTAAGATTACCAAGCGGTAATAAAGCCAAAATTACCAGACCATTCTAGCCGAAAAAAAACTCTTTTCTAACTAAAAGAAAAAAGTTCAAGTGCATTTTCCCCAGCAGATCACACACACGCACAAACACTTTTTTTGGTCCTCAAACGACACAATACGAGGCCACTAAGTCGATTTAATTTAAACCTATTGAGCCAAAAAAAAATTGAAAAGAAAAAATGAAATTTTAACAAATCAAGTAGGTGAAATTAAAATTGGAGAAATTTTAACCTACATAAAAAGCAAATTTTGATTATGCCGCATATTTGAACGGCTAACATGTTTAAAATATGTTTGTTGAAACAGAAAGGCCTATTAGATAAAAGGGTCTAAGAAATGAGTGAGTCGTGTCAACAAAGTCATTTGGGAAAAAAAGTCTAGTACCCGATTAAAACTCTTGCTAATCGCAAAGGTAATTAGCATTGGTTCAGAAAAAAAACTAAGCAGTAACAAGCTGACAAAACTTGAGCATGCATTTTCAGAGCCGCAAAATTTCTACTATCTTTTCAACATACACAGACGCGTAAGTAACTTTTTCGCTCATGAAACGACGCAATATGAGAACACTGCGCCAAAGTTTTTGAGGCCGAACATTTGAAACAAAACTCAAATTTCACCAATTCGGAGTCGTTTAAATTTTAATCGGCCTAAAAAACTTTGAATAGAACGGGTATTTCAATTGGACAGTCAAATTATGCCTGTTGCTTCCGTAAAACACAAACTTAGAGAGCTCAGCAGAAAAAGAATCAGTGGTTTTACTGGACAATGTTTAAATGGAAAAAATCTATATTCCGATGTGACAACTCTTATTAAAAGCAAGTGTAATAAACTGCTAGTTTTAAGTGTTTCAGGCTAATTCTTTTCGAAAAACAAATTTTAACACAAAGACGAAGCCTCATTTCGCAAAAAAGCGAGAAAACGGCAATAAATAACTTTAAAAACGTTCAAATTGAAATAAAGAAAAGGTTAAAAACAGAAAACGAATTTTTTTTCCAAATTGAACCCCCGACCTGGAGACTACGAGCCTCACTTCTATGCAGCAAAATTGCCACAAAATAAAAATAAAACTATTGCTATGTGCCAGAATTCAACCTCCAACCTGAAGAGTATCCACCAAAAACTTCGCATATGTGCCATAGTCTCCTGAAGTTTTACCAAACTAGCCACCAATAAAGCAGCTTAAGATGCTATTTAATTGCCGATGCTAAGCATTGAAGCCAAAAACGCTTCAAAAAGAACACTTCCGCGTGTTGTGGGCAACTTCTCCAGCGAGCAATTATGAGATTACTCAAAACTTTCTATGCGCTTAGCACAGCAGATGGATATTCTTGCTCAATTCAAAATTTGGCACGTAAAGTCTTCGATTTAAGTTTGGCCTTAAGGCTTAACTTTTTAAAATGTTATGATTGACGCTTTTCCTATCAACTACATCAATTTAAAAAGGACAGCCGGTTGCTCTGCAAGTTACAAATTATGCTTTTATCATGCTGATTTGAAAAAAAAACTTATCTGAGGAAAATATTACACCGAGAGAAAGCTGAAAAAATTCAAATAGGTCGAAAAAAAATAGATCTATTAAAATGATCAGGGCTAGTTTTGATACCAAAACGTGCCAACAATAAATTATGTTGAATAAGCATCGAAAAAAAAATAATTAAGCGGTAACAAAGCCGGAAACAAAGACTTATAAAAACTTATTCAGTCCCCTCACCCTCTAACTCACAAAAACTATACTCGCGTGTCAAATGAAACATTATGAGGCCACTAAGCCGATATATTATAGGCCGAAACCTATTCAGCCGAAAATAAAGAAATAAAAAACACAAAAACAAAAAAAAGAAATTCAAAAAATTTACGACTAATAAAAAATTATTCAGTCACCCTCAAACTCAACACACATGCACATAAAAAAATTGACCCGCCGAACGACTCAATATGAGGCCAATTAGCCGATATAATACAGGTCGAAACCTATTAAGCCGAAAAAAAAGAAACTAAGCCGAAATAAAAATTAAAGAAAAATTAGTACTGAAAAGTTATTCTCCCCCTCACGCTCAAGGCACATACAATCAAAAGAATTCACCCATCGAATGATATAGCACAATATAAGGCCACTAAGTCGATATAAAATCGTTCGGAACATATCAAGCCGAAAACAAATGAAAACTTTATAAATCGAGTAAGTAAAATTACAACCACATAAAAAGAAAATTTCGAATAGGAGAGATATTCAAAATACTAACCGCTCCAAAAAACATCTGTAGTGGTGGATTTGTTGCTAACATAGGCTTCCAGGAAATGAGAAAAGATTTTAGAAAGTCCAGTGAAGAAAGTTATTTACGGGTAAAAAAAGTCAAGTACCCGATTGCAATACCCTTGCTTATCGTCAAAGGTAAAAAAAATCCATTTTTCATATCTATTTGCAGTCCAAAATTCAAGTTTTTCTCGAAAAATGCGATTAAGATAGGCGATTGGTTTGAAATGTAATAATAGCTAAGCTAAAAAATGTTAAAAATGTAAAAAAAAAATTAAATTTGTTGGAGGTCAGCTTCTTTTCAATTCGTTTATTTGTCTGAAAAAAATACACTGACAGACATTGTTTGTGATTTAAATTACGACAAAAAAGTCGTAAATTTTGTACAACACGTCTTTTTAATGCTTTATGGACAAAAACTAAATCAGTGAGCGATGGTTTTATTTCGCTGCAAAATCAAAATTAACTTTTGAATTTAATAGTCATTCATGTTTTTAGCTCCACTTGTTTTGCTATTGAAGAACGCAAAGACGAGCGAAACATTTTACGGGCTAAATACACTTAAAACCAGCTTCAGCTGGTGTACCGTAACAACAAAATAGCATTGTATTCAGAAACAGAATCTATTTAAAATATGGAGCTTTGCAAGTTTATTCAAATCTAATTTGGACTTCGCAATCTGTATAAAATACATCCAACTATATACAAAACACAAGGAATGGGAAATATTTCAAATTAATTTTTAAATTTTTTCAAAATTTTCAAATCTTATATTAATTTGAATGTTTGTTAATGCATACTGAGCTCACGTACAATGAAAATGAGCAGCGAACTCATACTTATCACTAAGTTCAGTTCCGCATAAGTTACAGCTGAATGGATTCTTGAACCCGTGTGACCCTCTATGAACTGTAAATAGAACTTTGTCTCTGAAGGTTATGTCGCAATGAACACAGGTATACTCTTGTATTGCTTTATCGTCGCTACTTTTTGTCGTATTGTATGTAGAATTCACCGTGCTTTCCAACTTTTCGCCAGCCGTTTCTGGGCCTTTAGCATCTGCATTTGAAGCACCAATTATTGCATTCATAATTGTAGAGTTGCTGTTGCCATTGTCTGAACTTTTAGTAACAACTTTTTGTGTTCTTTTCGAGTCACTGCTTTCCGACAACAGAGAATTCGTTTGAGCCTTCGTAGAAATTTCTGAGCTCATTTCTGTGCCTCGAATGAGCTCATTTGTTGACATTTTAGCTAAAACCAAAAGTGTATATGAACTCGAAGAGATGGAGAAAATGCGTTTTGGAAATTGTTTCAACTTTTGAAAAAATATCATGTTATACATAGTTCTTCGAATTTTAAGGATATTTTAAGATTGAAACCAAACTTTACAAAGCTGGATCATTAGCTGACTTTTCTATGCCGCTATTTCAGAAAAGCTGTTTTAGGGCAATTTGGAAATTGTCGACAGCAAAATCTCATTTTTTGTTCACACGCTCCTCATGTAGATTTTAAAATGCCACCAAAATTAGTATGGGAAAATGTTAACTCCTTTCGGCCAAAAATGTTGTCGAAAAATAGTACCAACAAGGGGTGGTTGCTATTTATGAGGGTGTCAAATTTTCGAAATCCATGTTGACCTGTGGTAGCTCCCTCCGTTTGCGTTTCCACGTTACATGTTACGGAGTCGATGCACATTTCAGTTTCTGTTGCAGCTCCAAGCACAGAAGGTTGCATATCCATTTTCACGTCCGATTCCTCCATCATTGTTGTTTTTGAACTGGGCGCGCTGCATATTCTTGAAGTAAGTGAGCTGTTGAAAACGGAAGGGGATATATCTTGAACCAATGGGAGACTCCTGCTTTTACCTTTGGAGAAAAACCACGAAGAAGCATTAGTACGAACTTCAGACTCAAGTAGAGCAGCTTCTTTTAGAGCATCGTGTAGACTACTAACTTTCTTCGATTCCACATTTTCAGTACCAGAACATTTTATCGGTGACACAGAAATTCCACTGAAGTGAAGTCCGAGATGATCCAGATATTGCGAATTCCCTTCAAAAGCCTCATTACATATTTGGCATTTCCGCTCGTAGTGACTTAATTCATTAAGATGGGCCTGCAATAATTGCCGTGAAGCAGCGGAAAAATGACAGCGTTGACACATAAACGACTGTGGCTGAATCAAATTAGTGTGTTTTCTCTTGACGTGAATGCTCAAGTTCGAAAACTTATCAGCGGTGAACTTACAATGCGGACATACTAGCTTCGCAGTTTTAGGTAAAACTAACTGTGAATTACTAAGTTGAGCGTTCAACGTTAAATTGGTAGAATGCAAACGAAACTTTTTGCTTCGAGAGCCAATGTTGTGTTTTCTTCTTACCCGCCCTGATCTGACTTGCTTTTTTAAGGCTATATCCACGACAAAATCATTATCCTGTTGGTGTTTTTTCACATGCGCACTGTAGACTCTAAAACTTGACGTTGAAAACTTTTTGCAAATGTCACAATTAAGTGTGACTGCAGCAATCTTCGCTTCTAAATTTTGCTCTTCAGCGTTTGCCTCAATGCCCACTTCAGCCTGTATGACATCCATTTCTTGATACGAACCAGACGCTGTTGAATTAGTGTTGCTTAGTGACATTCTGAAATTTAAACAATGAGCGGTGAATTTGAAATATGGTTTGCGCTGTTAGCATTTAACCTCAATTTTAAAGCGTACATTTGAAACACAGAGGCGCAGCAACAACTGAAGGATGAAACGCACTATGACCCTCAATAATTTTTAAAAAAAAAACTTAATTACAAAAGAGGCCCTTCCGTTTAGTTAAGATAAGTGCACAAGCTGGATACGGCCATACCAGCGTTATAAAAATGGAAATATATCCGCAAAAAATATCATCTTATCAATGAAGTCATAAATCAGCATTAAATGCATCGTTGTAATGTTAATTTATCTAAACCGTCCTTACTCTACAATAGCGCTAATGGAGATGTCGATAAATTAAACTTTGCGCAGCGAACTGCACCCCCTTATACTAAGTATAGAGCTCCTCAGGCGCGCGAAGCTTATTGTAGTTTATCGACTCTGGGTAGCTTTCTTGTTTTTTTTTCAATTAGTTTTTCGGCTAATCGCTGGATCGTCCGCGAGGCTGTTGCAGCAGCGCCACCGGTGCATCCGAAAATTAGCGGCAGAATCTACTCTGCTCTACGTTTAAAATTCTTTGCTGATATTTGGAATTCATCAGCGTTTCGTGGTATTTGTATGCGTTTTTAAGCACTTTTTGCGATGTTTTGGCATGGGGGCTGAAAATTTTCACATCAAAGAAAGCGCGACAAAATCGTGAATCCCAGAGTCGATTTGCTTTAATGTCAAGTCAAATCTCATCTTCAGTTGTAGTTCAATTGTTGACAAAGCTTTCGCCTTGCGACGGCTGAAGTTTCGGCTCAATCTTGACGTCATGGCAAACCTCAATGATGAGGTTGGCGAATGTATGTCTAATTTCATTGTGTCTTCTGTGCGTGTAACCCTCCTATGCACAGTGTATGGCATCTGTCAGGTTAAAATTAGCCCACATGCACACGTTAGTGCGGTTTTGGTCGGTTCCCAACCCTATCTTAAGTAAATACCATCTTTGAATTCCGATTTATTCAGGTTGGAGTTGTATCTGTCAGTGGTAAAGCATTGAGCCAGTTAGAAGCTCCCTTTTCAGAGGCCAGGTCGATTGCGTATTTATCTGTTTCATTTGAGGAAATAATGAGGTTTGTTTTCTTTCGGTTTGTTTTACCAGTTTTCAATTTTTTGATTTTTGTAGAAAAAAGTTTCCCTCAATAATTAGTAAACATAGCTTCGAAGGATGTGACACTTATTTGAAGAGGAAACTGAAAGCTTTAAATAATTATTAATTTTAAAGAGGTCCTAAATCATTGGACTTTGGAAATTTAAAAATTGACGTATAATGATAAGTCCTAATCTTATAGTCATATAATCCGACTATCGTATAACTTTTAAACGCATATTTTGGCTTCGGTATAAAAAAATGTTTAATGGTATACGGAGGGCCTCCAATGTTAATAACTTCTCAACGTCACTGTTTTTGTCAATTAACCGCACTACAAATGCCTTAGATTGTCCTTAGGTTTTTGATGTTCCGTTTATGATTCTTTCCAATGTAGTATTAACAATTTTTGTTAAATTGGTTCTGAGTTCTGAATTCTCTTCCAAATTTCTTTGTTACTTTTAATGATTCGCCAAAATTGTTCCAGTTAGGTGAACAGCGAAACAACCTATGTAATGTTCCTTTCACAATTTTTTGCTGGAAGGGTTCGCAGCTATGAAAATTCAGTTTTTCATAATGGTTTCATTATCAGGTGGTTTTCGATACCATTTGCATGTGATCTCCTTTTGATTTACTACAATATTCATGTCCAAAAAAGCAAGTTCACCTTTCTTGTAGCTTTTTGATAGTAATTTTAAGTTCTTATGCAACGAGTTCACTCTATCAAGCACGTGTTTGGGTGTCCTTTTACAGTACATATTATGTCTACGTATCTTTCGAACAGTTTTCTTTCTTTACTACAAGTTCAAATGTCTGGTAAATTAAAACAGAATTCAAGGTACCAGAATATAATGCCCATTTTTAGATATTCGTCGTTACAGATTTTTGACACTAAGCATGAAACCAATTTTCACATTTTTCACATTCAACACCTTTACTGTTCCAGATGAACTTTTTACTGTAATTTAGTTATTTTTTAGATTTTTTTTATTTGCTTCATGCCATCGTTTTCTGCTTTCATTACTCCTCCGAACGATTGCATATAAATATTAGCCAATTCTACTGCCAGGGATGCGCCCAGAGCTAACCCATTTCTCTGACATTATCAATTTCCCTTTCTTTTGAAACGAATCTTTGTCACGGCTAACTTAAGCAGCATTTAAGAATTGAACGCTCAATATCTGGTGCGATAATTTTGTCTTTCCATAATCCAAAATCTATTGCCTTTATCATAGAGTACAGTAAAAAGATAATTTTCTTTCAAATATTTTAACACCTGAAAAAGCACAAACAATTAGTTTTTCCATGATGTTCCTTGCGTAACACTTTGCCGAGGCTTCACTTTCGCATAGTTTTCCCCCTCTATTCTCACGCAGGTTTCCTACCATATTGTCAATATCGGTCTGAAAATGAAATTTATTAAACTTATCCTTAATAGGATCTTTTGGACCACACGAAAGAAACTGTTCTGCAAAAACTGGCAATTTAATATCATCTAATGTTTTACATCGAAGTCAGTCTTTCGTAGAGGTTTTTCCTAAAGTTTGACAAATTTTAGCAATTTGACAATCGTTTCGTTTTTGTTTGTTACTGTGATTGTTTGAGTTTATGAGGTAAACTACCGATGGCAGCCACTTTTAATCAATTTTTTTAATGATAAAGCGATATCTGCTTTCACCAACATTTATAGTAGCTGAACAAAAATTCCTTTCGTTTTCTCACCTCATCTTTCAGTAGCTTTTATGAAAATTTAGCACAGCTTTCTCAGAGAAAATACAAATTTTTGGAACACGGAGCTTGAGAAAATCAACAATAATCGTATAACTTGAGATCAAAATCCTTACTCAGTTATAGCAACCGCTCAATAATATTCAAAATTTTTTGATGCTCGATTAAAATTTTGGTCAGAAAACTCCTTTTAATTTCAGCAAAGTTTTTATGTTGGAGTTGGGCAGCCCCTCATATCGATATTGTTGAGGTACTCAATTAAAAAAAATCCGACAGAAAAGTGGCCAATTATCGGTTTCGAATACTCGTTATTTAGTCAGCTACTCGTTACTGGAGTGCTCTTTTTTCCTGCAACAAAAGTGTTACTCTCGAAGAGCAAACAAAATCATCCACAACAGCTGATGGAAAACTTGAAGCTACGCTAGAGTGCACAATTGGAGCTAAAATATCTGCAATTGGTAGTAGCACACAAAGAAAGACTGGCAAGACTGAATGGCAATACCAGGGGCAACCAAAACAGACCAGTGCAGACAAGGAGTAAGGCAAAAGCACTGGTCTGTTTTGGTTGCCCCTGGTATTGCCATTCAGTCTTGCCAGTCTTTCTTTGTGTGCCACTACCAATTGCAGATATTTTAGCTCCAATCGTGCACTCTAGCGCAGCTTCAAGTTTTCCATCAGCTGTTGTGGATGGCTTTGTTTGCTCTTTGAGAGTAACACTTTGGTTGCAGGAAGAAAGAGCACACCAGTAACGAGTAGCTGACTGTTCCTTGCGTAACACTTTGCCGAGGCTTCACTTTCGCATAGTTTTCCCCCTCTATTCTATTCTCACGCAGGTTTCCTACCATATTGTCAATATCGGTCTGGAAATGAATTTTATTAAACTTATCCTTAATAGGATGTTTTGGACCACACGAAAGAAACTGTTCTGCAAAAGCTGGCAATTTAATATCATCTAATGTTTTACATCGAAGTCAGTCTTTCGTAGAGGTTTTTCCTAAAAGTTTGACAAATTTTAGCAATTTGGCAATCGTTTCGTTTTTGTTTGTTACAGTGATTGTTTGAGTTTATGAGGTAAACTACCGATGGCAGCCACTTTCAATCAATTTTTTTTATGATAAAGCGATATCTGCTTTCACCAACATTTTTAGTAGCTGAACAAAAGTTCCTTTCGTTTTCTCACCTCACCTTTCAGTAGTCTTTAATGAAAATTAAGCACAGCTTTCTCAGAGAAAATACAAATTTTTGGAACACCGAGCTTGAGAAAATCAACAATAATCGTATAACTTGAGATCAAAATCCTTACTCAGTTATAGCAACCGCTGAAATATGTTCAAAATTTTTTGATGCTCGATTAAAATTTTGGTCAGAAACCTCCTTTTAATTTCAGCTAAGTTTTTATGTTGGAGTTGGGCAGCCCCTCATATCGATATTGTTGAGGTACTCAATTAAAAATAAAAACTTTGTCGCAAAAAAAGTGGCCAATTATCGGTTTCGAATAATCGTTATTTAGTCAGCTACTCGGTACTGGAGTGCTCTTTTTTCCTGCAACAGAAGTATTACTCTCAAAGAGCAAACAAAACCATCCACAACAGCTGATGGAAAACTTGAAGCTGCGCTAGTGCACAATTGGAGCTAAAATATCTGCAATTGGTAGTGGCACACAACGAAAGACTGGCAATACTGAATGGCAATACCAGGGGCAACCAAAACAGACCAGTGCAGACAAGGAGTAAGGCAAAAGCAAGACTCGAGCAATAGCTGAATGCATAGGAAGAGTTTGCGCTTCAAGGACAGGGATGAGAGTGGTTTGAATTGTTTTGCTATGCGCCTTGTGAATTGTATAACTCGTTGCGTGCAAAACAATGACCACAGTAACTTTGCCCACCGTATGGCTCAGACAGAATTAACGGGGAAACTTATTTGGGAAAATGTGTTAGACAAAATTAATTTTTTATAAGTTAAATGTCTGTACATGGACTGAAGTTTATGAAAAGATCTGAAAAACGAAACAAAACTGGACTTTTTGAAGCTTAGGGTCCCCGAAAGACTGAAACGTCTAAGGACAGGAAAGGGTATGAGAAGATAGCAGTGAAAGCCTAAACGCTGGTGCACACAGAAATCGAAGAACAATTATGAGCAACCGTTTTGCGTTTCGTGATGCGTCAAGTTGATGCAAGCTTGAAGACAACATCAAAAAATCATAGAAAAACAAAAGGCGTGCAAGTTTTTATTGATACTTTTGATTGAGCCAATACCGGAACCAATACTAACGATGCCAGAGAAACCATTTAAAAAACTGCTCTATACCCGGATGAAACTATAATATCTCTTGGTATGAACAATTTATACACCAATCTTCCCTTGAAAGAAGCAATTGCAGTTGCCTTACAGAAGCTGTACAGCCAAAAGACTTCTCTTGGAAATCAATGAGCGACAAGGAAAAAGCTTTTCACTATGGCGGTCAGCAAGGTGTTTTTTAAACAAAATGATTTATGGTATATTCACGTAAATGGTCCAGCGATTGGCGCTTCCCTTGCTCTAACTCTTGCAACCCTATAGCTGAAAGAGTACCACTCCAATTTAAAAGACAAAATTCCGGCGGGAACGGAGATGCAGCCAGCGGGTGACCATAACGGTTTGTACCAATGTTGCAGCAGGAAAGTAAGATATAGATCAAAGGGAGTTGAATGCTTGAGAGGCCGAAACTGGTCGATCTTAAATGCGGGAAACTATCCGCCGATGTATACGTATTAATAACCGAGATAGTCTGGTATTGTAAAAACTGCTGCCGCGCTAGGAGCAAGGAGGAGGATACTCCAAAATTATAAAATGTTTTTCAGGCTTGTCGATGACCTGGTTAGAACAGTCAAAGGTAAAACAACTCGTGTTCTCGATGCTACCGATTCTCTTCATCCGAATCTTCAGTTCCTTCTAGAAGAACCCAATTCAGAGGGGAGTTTGCCGTGCCTCGATTTGAACCTAAATGTATCGCAGGATTAGGGGGTAACCTGCAATTGGTATCAAAAACCATCAACCACTGGGACTATAATGAACTATAGGAGCTGTGCCCCAAAACAGTAGAAGCGTAGTGTTATTCAAGGCACTGTACTTAGAGTGTTAAGGAGTACTTCTAACGAGGACCAATTTGATAAGGCTACGGTAACTAATAAGGCGCAATGACAGACAAATCACTACCCTAAACATTGGCCTGCAAATGAGCCAATATTTTGCAAAGAGGTTACAAAGTAAGACCAACGTTCAAGTAGTTTTCACCACAATCAAAAATAAAATCTTGATTAACATCGAAGAAACCAGCATTTTCCAATGACTTTAAGTCAAGAGTGGTTTTTAAACTGCAAGTAGTGCATGTAATTTCGCCTATGTCGGACAAACTGATCCACATTTGACAGTAGATTTGTAGAACATAAAAAACAGTCTCACCGGTAGGCCTCCAACTTCAACAATACAGACATAAGGGAAATAGCGCAGATGTTAATTGGGAAAAAATAGATATGTTGAACAACCAAACGAAATCGTTAACACTAGAGGTAAAACATATCCAAAAAAAGCCGTTATTGAACACGCACTATGAGTTTATAAGCAAAGAGTTGACAATAAAAATTTAGTCACGCTACAATTTTTTTAAAATCGAAAACTTACACGTTGAAATTAAAGTTTTGACTCAAAAACTTTCAAAAATAATAACAAATTTTTTAATCAGTTTCAGAGGTAAGAAGTGTTTTTGTTCTATTTGATTCATTTCACAGGTCTACTGTGATTGGCTTTTTTCAACATGATGGCTTAGAACTAAACTTTATGTGAAATATTGATATTTTGAAATAAAGTTCGATTTTTTTGTCATTTAGTTTAGTTTATTGTGAAGTTTTTAAAAAAGACCACAGCTTTGAAAAGTTTGAAAATTAATTTTCATCGAAAGTTCCTTGATTTTAACAGAACGGAAAAAACGCGAAATACGACGTCCTGGGTCCTTAATGATCTCCACCTTCAAAAATGCAGACTTAGGGTAAATAGCACAGATGTCAGCCAGTAAATTATAGAAAGGTCGAACAACCGAACTAAGATGTTAACACTTGAAGCAAAACGCATCAGGAAGGAGAAGCCTGGCTTGAAAACACGAAGAGAGTCGAAGTAGGGAGTTGACACTGAAATTTTGTATTCTTGGTTCCTTTTCGAAAAACCTACATGTCTACATCAAAACTTTGACTCAGAAGCTCCCATACAAAATAAATTACAATCTCTTAAATTATTTGACAGTTTAAGAGTAATTTGATCCTAATTTTTTATTCTTAGATCATTTCTGTGAATGAATGGCTATTGTTTAAGCATGATGGCTTGAAACCAAATTTTATGTGAAGTTTGGTAATTTACTTTTGCTCATTGATGTTCTATTGTCATTTTGATTAATTTTTTGTAAAATTTTTTCTGACGATGCACATAGTTGTGAAACTTTTCAAGTCATTTTTTTTTCAAAACTTCTTTGTTTTTATCTTTGATTTTAATAGAACGGAAAAAACCTCGACTTATGACGTCAGTAAATTATAGATAGATAGATATATATATATATATATAGATAAATAGATATTTTCAGTTAAAAATGAATAACAGGGCAGCCGTGGTGGCCCTCTATTTCTAACTACTGATTATCACTACACCAAATTCAACAAACCTGGTCTCTGGGAAAACAGCTTCTTCCTTCTTTTGTCCATCTCCAGTACCAGCTGAGTTCTTTCCTTATTTCCTTATTTTTATCTCTATGTTAGAAATCATAGCCGCAAGTTCCCTTTCTGACTCAATCGAACAAGGTCTAACCCCTGAACAGAAAAATATAGTAAAGCAAATTGTCTACGCCGAGGGGGATTTAACCTGAACCCAAGGACGAACTTTAAATTTAAAAACGTTACCGATTATATATGAGCAACGAGTAAATCTATTATACTGTGGCACGATCTTATCAACAATTCGATCACA